TGCTGAAATATACCCTGCTTAGGAACATCAAATAGGCTGTTTTTACCTATGTGACCTACAATATTATTCAAACGAACAGCGTAGAACCCAAAAACATGGATAAGCAGATACCGGCAATCACAGATTCTAAAAACCTCTCAACGTATCTTAGCGACTGGTTTTTCGATTTCACAAAAATAGTGAAATTTCCTCGATGGGTGTTAGAATTTTTTTATTCTAGAAAGAAAGAAAACGAAAACTGCTGAAAGCAGCCTGCGAAGTACATCGGACAGCTTGTATTGACGCCATGTGTGGCAAGGGCGTTGATCGACACCTGTTTTGTTTATACGTTGTCGACCGATACCTTGAATTGGATTCTCCTTTCCTCAAAGAGGTTTTGTCTGAGCCGTGGCTTCTTTCCACTAGTCAGGTAAATATTTTCTTTAGATTCGGTGCGTTGAATTAATTTTTTTAGATGATTTTCAAAATTCAGAAATACTCATATAGACGCTTTGATCGTGATAACATTTTTATTTCGATGATATTATTTTAACTTCAATTTAGACTCCGCAGAATCAGTCGGCGCTGGTCGATTACAAGAAGTGCCCTCAATTCGTTACTTTTGGAGGTGGGTTTGGTCCAGTTGCCGATGACGGGTATGGTGTGTCATATATAGTTGTTGGCGAAGACACGATAAACTTTCATGTTTCATCCAAGAGTTCTTGCGCCAAAACGGTGAGCACAAATACTATTTTTGTCTTTAACTTGCAATGCCAGCTTTGTCACGGATTTCTGAATATTTCATAACTAGCTTCAAACTAAAAACAGCACATTACACTTGTTTTTTATATACAATGCAAACATTACAGTCGATCATTGATCACACGTTTTCGGCCGTATTTCCTTTGCCTGCTTCATGGTCTGGAGGCTGGCTGACCTTCTTTGGAAGTCCTTTCGTTATTCGTATCGGCTGGTACGTGTAAAGCCAGAACGCCAGATGCATGGCATACACCACGCTTTTGTTCAAGGCTGTTAAAATTTATTGATTTTTTATCGGTTCCCTTATCAGTGTTTCATATTCATTTCCCATTCTTAGGAGCCTTGGTGTTTTGTTTTTTTAATCGAAATCAGCACTTCGAACAGATAATGTCAGGCTACAGAAATGCGTGCATTTTTCATTAAATTTGCGGATTATACACAAGATCGAAATTTCAGACAGGAGTTCTTTGTATAAATATTAAAACATATTGAAGTAAAAATCCGAATGGCATTTCAGGTCAAGTTTAGGGGGACGCTCCTCTACAGAAACACGAGTTCAGGCTATAAAAACTGCTTACTTTTGTTCTTGCCAAAATTTGAATTGAACAGAATGCCGTACTTTTCGCGATTCAGCCTTATTTCAATAATTAATTAATTACTGTAATTGTACTGAAGCTCCATCTTCGAGCACATAAATGATTCAGTTTCCACAACTGTCTCTTCTCTCCTCTCGCGTAGGCAGAAGCGTCAGTCAGTGATTCTAACATTCCTGATCCTGTGCAAGCATCTCAGCATCAGCAAAAGACTT